ACGTGTTGGGGATAAATATTAATTTCAGGTGACCTAGAGAGATCTGATGGGATTCAGGCTAAAAGCCAGTTTTAAGATCATGAGAATAGTTAGGAAAAAGCTCTAGCCCAAATCCAAAAACTAGTCACAAGTCATTGACAGATTGTTCAAGGACACCCAAGCCAGATCTTCTTTGACCTCAAGGTTTCTCCTGCCCTACCTGCTTTTCTGGGGTGGTCTTCGGGAACTGGAGCCAAGGGAGCACTAGGAAAACACTGATTTCTCATAAATACTGTGAAATTTATCTAAGAGAAAAGAGCAAGGGCATACGGCGATAGACAGCAATAGAGGCTACACTTCTCTAGCCAAAGTCCTGCATTTTCAAGTCACGCTGTGACAGCTAGAGAGCCTATTGATGATGGAGTTCCCTTGTCAGTGAAAGTGTGGTAGCCTCCAGTTTATAAGAATGTGGATCTCTCTGGGTTTCTAAAGTAAATATCCAGCTCTGGTCTTTGGCTTATCAAAAGCTGATCTCTCCAACATAATAGGTGACATATACAACTTAAATTTAGAATTAATAGAATAAAATGTAACTTATAATTCAGTCCCTCAATCACACCAGGCACATTCTCCACCACGGTAGGTAGTTGCAGTGGAAAGTGCTCCTCTAAAGCAAGGAATTGGTTTGCTGGCTTTTTCTAATGCGCCAAAGCTCCAAAAGTATATAAATTAGTGTAGCCGAGGAAACTCTACCTCTTGCTAAGGCCAAGGAAAGGGGAGGAACCAAAAAGGCTTCTTGAGTTTCCTTTGCCACAGAGGACAGGGATATTTGAGTATGTTTTGCACATCTTATTGCTGCCTCTTTTTTGTTGTCGTTGTCTGTTTTTGTTTATAAGTTTCCCTCCTTTCAGATTTAGGTCTATGGACCTGGGACACACAGTTTGGAGTAGAAGAGATTTCAAACAAGGATTCTGGGACCCTACCAGAGATGCTATCAAATAGAAACTATTAGGCAGTGTTCAAGTATGTCGAAGAAAAAAAATGTTTTCAAAGTGAGTGGGGGAGAAAAATTATTGATCAGAACCTGGACTTCAATGTCAACAAGAGAGAGAATAAAAAATGAGGACCTATTACATTTTAACTGAAGGTTTGCTTCTGAGACAGATGCTGCTAAACATTAACAGGGGCAGGGCGGTAAATTACAGATTAAGATGCAATTATGCTTCCTATCTCTCCCTTTCAGGGTGAGGACTTGTCAATATGAGGGCTCAGACAAGGGAAGCACCCTGTGACAGGTGGCATCTATTGTGGAAGCCTGAAACTTCTGGAGCTTTTAGCTCCTATATTCCCAGAAGGCAAGACCTAGCTGCCTGTCTTGCTTCCATTCCTCTCGCACAGTCATGCATCCATGAGCATTTAACATGATGAGCCTACAACATGATGAACACAGGCGGAATACCATACCTGAAGAAGCTGCTAGCAGCAACCAATAGTTAAAGGGATGGGGGAGGCTGAATTTAGCTCTGTAAACCCTGCCAGCTCATCCTTTGAACATGTTGTTGCAAACTCCTACTCCAGTGAGGTGAGCGTTCAGGTGTTTTCAAACAGGTTCTGGGCTGTTTGCTGCTTAAGGTCATAGGTAAAGCTGGAAACTCTCATCCTGGCACTCTACTGGATATATTCTTGGTGGGTTTCTCAGAAAACTGAAACATCAGCCCCCATCGGAAAAGCATCCAAAGAGGAAGTATGAAAAAATAATTGTCCAGATATCTTTCAATGGAAGAGCATATATTGAAAGCTGTTGCGCAAACATACATCAGAATTATTATGCAGTTGGCTTGTGGGTCTTTGCATCAGAATCACCTATAATGCATGTGGGGAAAAATATAGATTCCCAGACATCATCCCAGCTGCAGGAGGCTGGTACCCAGGGACCTGGATTTTTAGCACGTGCTTTCAGTGATTCTGATGCCTCTTAAGTTTGGAACTGTCTAGCTGGGAACACCCTAACTTTCCATTTGGGGTGTGGCTAAGGGACAGCTTTCTCTTAGCATTATTTATAAATCTGTTTTATGTTCCCCCACATCCCTTCTTGTCAAAAGAATGGAATGTAGAATGGAATTATCTATTATTATTTCACAATTAAGGATAATGACGTGAACATCCCAGGTGAGTAAGGGATGTGGTCAGGAATCCCAGCTTCACAAGTTTTCTGGCAAGTTCAGTGTTTCTGTTCATAAACCCAGATCTGATTCTGGTCTTTTGCTAAGCAAGCTTCACCAAGGGTCAAGGATGTGGACTCACACAGGAAGAGAAAAATGGGACCTGGCTCCTCAAGCACCAGTACCTGTGGTTGAAACCAAACTCATTACAGCCAAACCTCTAGGATTCCAGTCTAGACAAAAACAAGGCTGACAGGCCTGAGCCAGCCCCAGCCTAGAGAATTTCCCTACAGATCCCTTTACCATGTGCCACATAGAGGATTTGTGTTTGTTCTGAAGAATTCTTGGGAGTCCTGGGTTAAGGCAACTCTAAAGCCACAGTAGGCCAGTGAGATACTACTATTCAGAGTGGGCTGCAGGGGAGCTAGCTTCAGCCTGAATCTCTCTTGGTCTGCTGAAGTCTTTTGAGTTCCTGGAAGCAAAGGCACCACCGCAGGAGAGGCCTTTGGTGTCATGGGCATTATTTATTGAGTGCTGCCCCCTAGAGGATTGGAAAAGTTCTGGCTGCTTGGGAGTCCCGGGGGCTGGGAAGCTAGGGCTAACCCCCAGGCCAGCTGCAGGAAATGAGGTCTTCACTCCAGTGGACAGCAGAGAAGTGTTGCAGGCAGAGGCTCAGAATCTCCCAGGAAGCAAATTAGTTCCCCCTTTAGGACACCTCTGAAAAAGGAAAATCCATAACGCTGAAAGCAAGATCCAGGAACAGAACACTGAAACTCACCCTGACTTGTCCCCACAGCACAGGGAATCCTGGAAGCAGTCTGATGAGGGCCCTCAGCCATAAGACCTCAAGGTCTGCAGTCCAAAGTTATTCTTATGGTTTCTCGATGGGGCTTGATTTTCATTTTCATCCTCTCTCTCTCTCTCTCTCTCTCTCTCTCTCTCTCTCTCTCCTGCCTTGTCTGTGCCATTCACTGAACTCTAGCTCTGCTGTTCTCAGAAGCAGGCTTTGTCCAGGCCCAGCTCTTGCTAAAAGAGTTTGGTATGTCTGGAGACAGTGGAGGAGGTGACACTAAATAACTCCTTTCAGGGACTGTCAATGCAGATAGCATTATTTGTCCTTAGATTAGCCTTTTGGTAATAACACAAACCCGGATTTGTGCTTGAGGTCCAAAATCCAGACCGTCCCCTTCCGTCATCAAATATTTGGGACTGGGAGCCATTCTTTACAACTGGACTTTAAACAGGAAAAATGTAAAGCTGAAGTTTTTAGTAATATGGATGTTCTTTTAAGCCTAGAAAGAATGAGGGGGAAGGGAATGGGAGAATGAAGGGACTGAAGAGTGCCCGGTGAGAGAGAGAGAGAGAGAGAGAGAGAGAGAGAGAGAGAGAGAGAGAGCGAGAGAGAGAGAGAGAGAGAGAGAGCGAGAGAGAGAGAGAGAGAGAGAGAGCGAGAGAGAGAGAGAGAGAGAGAGAGAGAGAGAGAGAGAGAGTGTGGTGCTCTCTGGAAGCACTCAGGAGATCCTGACACATGTCCTTTGCAGTAGGCATCTAAGATTAACTGTACGATACTGAGCCTATGGACTCCTACTGTAAAACCCTTCCTTGCTTCAACCAGTTGCAAATCACTTCTAACTCCATTTTGTTTGGGTTATCTCCGTGTAAATAACAGTTAAGTGGGAGTTACAGATTTCTCAAACATTGAAAGTGATAAACAAAGCTAACGGTAAGTCCAGATAAGGAGGGAAACCACCTAGAAAAATCCACAAGTCCAAGCCTAGGAGAAAATGACACGGTCCCATATGTGTGTTCCTTGTCATCCAAACTTTATTTTTCTTCATCTGCAGACTTGTAGGACACGGATATAGAGAGTGTTGGTTAGCTGTTTCTACTGAGTCTTGATGATTGTAAAGTAGCAAACAGTAGGGGATCACCAAGTCACCCTCAGAAACAAAGATACAAGTGTTTTCCCAACTATTAGCTTACAGCTCCTTTTAAACAGTTTTCACGCCTCCTCTTTAAAATGGTTGGCATAATGTTGTTTTCTTTCTCAGCGTTGTGACCACATTTCCGTGGGAGAAAATGCTAACAGAAGTGGCTACAGTAGCATTCTGAGGGAAAGCCTTCATGTACCTGTAGTACTTTGGGGGGAAACCTGGAGGTGTGGAGGGCGTGATTTAACTGCCTGAAGAGATTCTGTGCTGAATAAAATCGTCGTTCCTCATTTTAGGATTGTTACAAGTTAAGGGCGCAGGGCTAAGTAAATCCTCACCCAGAGAGCAGAGGAGGCTGTCTGGGACCTAACAAAGGATGTGAATAGTAAACGCAAGGAGTATTTGGAATTTGATTCAGCAGGGGCTGCCCATGTGTGTCGCCGCTACGCACTGCTGCCTCTGCCAACACATGGTTGAGCCGCCGGTTGGCTCCCAATCTCAAACACCGTCCGCCACCCAACAACTCTTGTAACGCCATTGCGCGTGGCATGGTGTTGGGTTCTGCGTGTGTGGCATCAGAGTCACCGAATTTAGGGGATTTTTTTTCCCCCCGGGTTCCGCGGAGTTTCCCTCCGGCAGGGGCGGCGCGCCTTGGAGGTGCCAGGGAGGGCGCTCCTTCCCCGGGCCGTGACGCACCCGCAGCCCGCAAGGAGGTGCACAGGGCAGGCAGGAGCCGCGAGGTGGGAGAGGGGCTGCGGGGTGCGAGCCGCCCTAACTTTGATCGTGAGACGGGCGGCAGGGGCGGTGAGCCGCAACCCCGCCCGAGCTGGGTACCGCGGCCCTGGGCTCTGAGCCGCGCGTCTCCGCGGCTGCCTCTTTAATCAGGAACACAGAAGGGGCGGGCCCTGAGCCGGCGCGTAATCGGATCGCTCTGCCGCCGCTCTGACATCCACATGCTGCTCGGCCTGAAAAGGCGAGGGGGGAGCCGGAGGGGAGGCAGAGCCGGCGAGCGAGGCAGCAGCCTGCAGCCCGCCCCCAGCACATCCTCCGACGCGCAGACACCCGGCCCCGCGCAGGGCGAGGTGGAGGTGAGGGCGGGCGCCAGCGAACTCGGAGAGGGGCTCGCTCACTCGCGCCGGATCCCAGCCGCTGCCGCACCCGCAGCAGCACCCGCCGCCGTCGCAGCTTCCTGCCTCACACTCCCCTCCAGAGGCTGGCCAGGCGGGTGTAGTCCGGGGAGGCTCCCGCTAGGGGAACCCGGCGAGGACCACAGCGGGGCGGCCGCCTCCCACTCCCGCTGTCCAGCGGTCGGTGTCGTCGCCCGCGTGTGTGTCCCGGGTGTCGGGGGACGCGTGTCAGTTTGCGCCTCTGAGATCACACAGCTGCCTGGGGGCCGTGTGATGCCCAGGGCAAGTCTTGGCTTTGATTTTTTAAATCATTACTATTATTTTACGCTTGGCTTTCGGGAAACCCTCGTGATGTTGTAAGGATAAAGGAAATGACACTTTGAGGAACTGGAGAGAACATAGATGCGTTTAGGTTTTGAAGAGGAAACCGGTCCCGGCTTGCTCCCGCTTTGCTGATTTCAGGAGCTATCCTCTTAGTGAGGTGGGGATTCCAGCCAGAATAAAGGTGAAGACGGGCCGCCAGGACCCAGGAGGGAAACGCTGACCATTAGAGACCTTTGCAGAAGATACCGAAAGGAAGAAAATAAGAAGGGAGGAAAAAACACACAAAGACTTCTAATTATACGATAATCCTACAAACCCAGCCCTGGAGAAAGACTCTCACTCAAAAATGGATATGTTTTCTTTCACCTGGGTTTTCTTAGCTCTCTACTTTTCAGGACATGAAGTGAGAAGCCAACCAGGTAAGCCCCTCAAAAAAATTTTTTTTTCCTATTCATTTTAAAATGGTTTCTCCTTTAAAACCGACTACTAATGCTGGGAGGCCAGGCAGAATGGCTCAGGAGGAGGCTCCCTCAGTACTCAATAATTTAAAGAGAGATCTCAGCCTGTCCTCCCTTACACCACCAGGGCTGCTAAACCCAACTTTTCTCTCTTGCTAGGAGTGTGTGTGTGTGTGTGTGTGTGTGTGTGTGTGTGTTGTAACAGAATTTGGCGGTGTTCAGATGTCACATATGGACTGAATCAAAGGTTTAAAAATACTACAAAGCCTTTGCATTACAGTTTTGGGGAAATTTTTTTCCTGTCTTGAAGCAGAACACATCTCCCTTGAGTTTCTTCAACCTAGCCAGTGAAATATAAATCATTTGCATTCCCTCCACTTAGCTACATTGAGCAATGTTAACTGAAGGGCTTGGGAAAAAAGCAAGAGTCTAGTTTTGGTTTTCAGATGCTGTGGATTCTTTGAGGAATGGGTGGATATTCTCAGAATCCTAGGGTTGTAGCTAGTGGAGCACACTGGCTTGTGGCTGAGATGGGGCTTTGCAGTGGGTGCTGCCAGCGGCCCAGGCAGTTTAGTGGTCCTCACTCTCCTCTACATACCTGTGTTTCCTGGGAAAGCAAAATATGTGTTCTTTTTGAAAATTTATTATTACATAAAACAAGCTGCACTGCCCTCGAAGGTCTTTCACTCTTGTGAAGTGGTTAGAAACTTTTGAGTGAAATTTGTTCTCAAGCACTGCCAAAAACGGTGTGTGGACAGATTGCGGAGATGAGCACAGCAAGGCCCAGCTCAGTGCCCGGAGGCCAGGTTTTGTGGAGAGTGGCAAGGGACACCTCCCCGAAAGGGGTCTGTGGTCTCAGGGAATGAGGTTCTCTGGGGCCAGTCCTTCCTTCCTGGGACCACTCTCCTAAGGGAGCTTCTCTCCCCTCTGAGTCAGTGTCTGGAATCTAACAAAACTCTTACCAGCTGCTACAGGTGACTGGGGATGGGAAACTACAGAGAAAATGGGGGGATAAAAAAAAAAGAAAAAAGAAAAGAAAACTCCTAGAACCGCTTTTACCCCAAGACACTTGGAGATGACAGGTCTGTGGACTCCTTCCCTACAGCCACCCTGGTATCCCTGCACAGAGGCTAGCCGGTCCTGAGGAGGACGCTTTACACCCGCTACACCGATTCTTTCCCCTTCTCCAACACACATCCACAACCACTTTACGTGAAAGATATCTGGGGTTAGCATTTGTTTGGGTCTGGGGAGAGAGAGGAATGCCTTTGCTACCCAAACCCAACCCTTTGCTGCCGCTTCTCTGCTTAACTGTCCCTACAGGTCCCGCAAGTATGACCCAAAGCTAGGGTACAGGTCTGTCCTGGGGAGATATTCTGGGCCTCCCATTCAGTCTTGCCTCAATTCTAAATTCCGGCTTGAAGTGAAATTAAAATACCTCCCACCGACCTGAATGCTGCGTAAATTATGTATGTTTGTGTGGTTTGCTTTATATGTGTGTGCGTGCGCGCGCCATGAGAATGCCCACGGTATATTATGCATTCAGGCGCGGACACCGGTAGGCCCCTGTGTGCGAGTGCGCGCACACGGGCACACACACCACACACCCGGACGCATCCACAAACAACTTCAGATTCCCTGTAATGTGCCGAGCTGAAGGGGTTGTGAAGATTCAGGGGCCATCTCCTTTCCCAGATGTTCGCACATCTGTCCCTGAGCGCTGAGTGGAGCATGTGAACGTGTGTGTGAAACACCCGCTTGGACCCACTCTGGCTAAGCCACCTGCCTCCGGCGCTCACTGCAGAGCCCCCTCCCATCCCAACCCCTGGTCGCGCTGCGTCATTTCCAGAGCTCAAAGGCGCGGAGTGCGAGGCAGGTCAGCCACGGTGAGGCCTCGGACAACCTCGGACCTGGGGTGGGACAGACCCAGAACTGGGACCTGCCCAGAGTAGATATTCTCCCCGAAAAGACCATCAATCGCCAGTCACGGCTTTCAGCCGAAGCAACCGATTGGCACTCGGGGAGCTAGCTGGGGTGGCTAAGGCGAGGCCAAGCTGGAACTCTGACTCACCCGGTGTGCGCCTGCCGGGAGGTGGGCTGGACCCCGCACCACAGTGGCTGCGGGTACCGATTCCGAGAAGGAATTAGGAAAGAAGGCGGAAGGTACAGCTGTACCAAGATCCGAGCGGTCGCGGCGCACCGCCCCCCGAGCTGGCGGGCGGATGGAGGGCTCCCTCTCTCCTAGCCACGCCGCCTTGCGGGAGTAGGATCTCGGCTTAGCCTCCCGCCTCCTCCGGCCCGGACTCCGGGCAGCTCTGTCGGCCCTTCTCCGAGCGCCCCCTCCTGCCCCCCGCGCTCTGCTCCGCGGCTCAGCTCGCCGCAGCCCCAGAAGAACTGGCTCGAAGGGGCTGGAGCCCCAGGCCATAGATCCCAGCGCTAGGCAGGCTGAGTGGCAGGATGCTGGGGTGGGATTTCAGTGCGGAGGGCGGAGAGGGGCGGGAAGTGGCCAGCCGGAGCCGCAGGAGTGCGCGCACCTTGCACGGCCTCGGGGAGCATTGCGCGCCCAGCACCGGCCCGAGCGCCCAGACAGGTGAAGAGCTTGCGGCGCGCCGGCATCCACGTGGCGCAGACGTGCCCCCACCCCTAGCTCTCCCCACACCCCTAGCGCGGTCTCTAACGCCGCATCGATTTGTTTGGGCTACGCAGCAGAAACAGAGCTGAACAATCCATAAACATTCTATTAGGCAAAAATATTCCCAGCGAAAGCAAAACCGAGGCCACAGCGTCCGCGAAGTTGGCCGCCTCGGACTCCCGCAGGCTGGTCTCCTCCTCCTCCAGACTAAGGACACCCCCAGGGAGAAGCCTGCGGCATTTCCCTGACGCTGCCCAGTGCCAGAAAGTTTAGTCGCGGCTGCGGCTGTCCTCCTGGGCAACCTCTGCAGTACTGCGCCCCCACCCCCCTTCTTTGCGCCTTGCTCGCTATTCTGATGTCCACGGGAGAAAAAATACGGTGTTCACAGCCAATGCTTCATTTTCACGATTTGATTTCTCTTTAATATCAAGCCAGGTTAATAGAGGCTGGGTTTTGATTAAACAACTGCCCCCAACCCCCGCCTTGGGCTGGCGGCGCCCCTCTCCTGTCCCACCAGTCTCTAGAAAGAGGTGGTTTGGGGCACACGGGTCGATCTAAAGTCCCGAGGTGGGCGTTGTGTGTGTGAGAGCTAGAGTGGAAGGGACTGGAAGACCCTCTGGGAACCTCCGCGTGCTGGGGGGCGGGAACCAGCTTTGCAGACCCAGCTCAGCGGATCCTCCCATCTGTGCCGCAGCTTCTGCGGCTAGGGTTGAATTTCTTTTGGAGGGGTGCGGGCTGGACGCTCCGGTTTACTGGCGTGGGCTCTCGGCCTGATTCCCTCCCTCCACCTCCCTTTCTTTCGGTTTCTGACAGAGGAGAGCCCCCTGGCGCTAGCCGTTCCCCAGCAGCGCCTGGCCAGGAAACTCTCCTTCGCTAGAGTTGATCCCGAACCTCCTCCTCGGGGCCTTGGGTTTTGCTCAGGAAATCACTCAGTTCAGGCGGTGGGGTTTTCAGACAGTAGCAACTCCCAGGCTTAATATCCCTACCCCTGAGACACGCGGCTTGGGGCCAAAAGAAGCCAGACCCCTTAACCGTCGTACCCTTCCTGCTTTTGCCAGAAGAGCTTTGATCTGTGTTGGGCTTTAACACCATTGCCATAGACACGGACTGAGTCGGTCAATTCAACCTTCAGTCTGGGATGGACGATCAGATAAGAGGTGTAAATTGGCTGTGGGAGACAGCTCCGAGTTCAAACAAATCCTGAAAGAGAATCACTGATGGTCTAAGGGCCCGAAATGGGGTTTGATGGGTGTTTCAGACTCTCTCCCCCAAATGTAGGATGGCCTTGTGTGAGCATAATAGTTTACAAGTAAAAGATCAACTCCTGGATTCTGCACAGACAGCCTGCTCCAAGCCGGAGGGATTGATCTCCTGCCCTCATTAAGTAAGTGCCCAGTCACCCTTTCCCTACAGGAGGCAGGGAGGCTGTTACCAGTTGCCAACTGAGCACACAGTGCAAAACAGTGGAAAGGGGAGAACACCCCACCCGGGCTCCAAGGCAGGTCCTTACTTGTCTAGAAAACATCAGAATTATGAGCATGCAAAGCACCTTGGGTTTGAAGACTTTTGGTCATCCCATAGAGTCCACAGAGATCTCAACCGGCAAAGTGTGAGGTTTGAAAGCTGCTGGGACTGGAAGCTGCTGGGCTTTCCAGCAGGACCCCTGCTGTCTACCAAATGGCTCCAGTCCCCTGCTGTTCAATGGAAAGTCCACATTCTTCAGCAGAAAGCCAACTCCTACCTTGTAGGTGTAGGAAAAGTGAGGACTACAAACACCAGTTCATATGCAATGAGGCATGAATGCAAGCAGCAGTTAAGGAGGGGCTGGGGGGCAGTGGAGAAAGGAGCTTAGATGGTGATTCTGAGGCCCCTGTTGGTTTTCATCACATTCAGCTCTTCATTTAAGCCCTCAAAAGAATGAACTAATGAACTGGCTTGGGGTGAACCATGAATGGGACATTTCTAAGCTGACAGATTCTAGAGATACAGCTTTCAGAATATGTTCCCCAAAGATCCAGTTTAGAAATCTGAGGTGAGATTTTCCTTTGTAGAAAGATAGAGCAAAGCATGTTAAAGTAAAATTGATGAGCCATCATCTCTGATTAGGCCCTTGTACTAAACTAACAGACCAGGCCAAATCCGAATGGAGACCTACATGTTAAGTGGTAGGCAGCAGGTTATCAGACTGAACTCTGAACTGAGCAGTTTAAAAACAAAAACAAAAACTTCAGAGCCACAGCAACCAATGAGAAGGTACCTTTGCTACCTGAGTCAGTAGGAGAGGAAGTCTTTCCCCCCCTCTGTCTTAGTCAGATAAGGAAAGTAACTT